AATATTCTCAATTTCTGGAACAGCTTTCCTGTATTAGCACTTTCCAACTGAAACTTTTGGTTTATCCTCCCGGCATATTGAAGGATTTGACGTAGCAAAATCAGGTGAATTTTACTCACCGGATAACTGCACATATGAAAAAGAAGTTCAGCATTGTAGTTTTTTTTTCTTTTGCTATCAGAAAGTGTAGATTCAGTTCGTAAAATTGATCAGGAACAATGTTCACACCGGATCTAATGGAAAGCTACATTGCTTCAGGAAGATGCAGTATATTCTGGTAATCTTGAAATCACTGAAAGGCCGAGTGACCGTGTGTGGGAGGCTGTGAGCTGATGGGTGATGCCGAAAGAGGTCAGGTGATGGTCAAAGAGAGCCAGCAATGAAGAGAGCAATGGTTGGTGATGGACTGATAAGATGTTAGGTGTGAATAACTTTTCACACTGTGAACTTCCACAATGCTGAGCTCAGCCAAACTGGGACAGAGAACCCTTGATTAAAGAGGAAGTATCCTTTCCCCCTCTTGTCATGCAGGTTTAAAGTCAATGGCCCCTGGTGATCACTTTCTACTGGTGTATTTGCACTTTGTCACAAAGCTCTTTGGTTTTTACCCCATAAATAATAGGATTGAGAAAAGGGGGGATAAGTAGATAAAGGTTGGCAAAGATTATGTGAATGTGGGGAGCTAAACCCTAACCAAATCAGTGTGGAGAAGAGGAAAGGAGTACAAGATGTCAACATCAGACATATATGGGCTGTGCAAGTATTGAGGGCTTTCTGGTGGGCTTTCTTGGAGGAGATTCTGAGAACAGCCCTGATGATCAGACCATAGGACAGAGAAACAAACATTAGGTCTAACCTGATGATTACAAATGCCATCACCAAGCCATACGTCCTGTTGACTGTGATGTTCCCACATGACACCTTGCCCACACCCATGTGCTCGCAGTAAGTGTGGGGGATAGTGCGTTTGGCACAGAATGGCTGCCTGCTCAGGGGCAGGGGCAGTGGCAGAATGAAGAGAACAGCTCTTATTAAACCCACTAACCCTAGCTTAGCTATTCGTGAGTTGGTGAGGATTGTGACATATCTTAGAGGGTTACATACAGCAATATAACAATCAAAGGCCATTGTCACGAGGACGGCTGAATGCATAACACAAACTGAGTGAAGAAAGATTGTCTGGGCGAGGCAGCCTCTCAGAGTAATACCTTTCAAACTGAACCAAAATATACACAGGGCCTTTGGTACAACAGAGGTAGACATGTCAATGTCTGTGAGTGCCAGCATGCAGATCAGCAGGTACATCGGCTTGTGCAGGGTCTGCTCTTTGTCTACAACAAATAGAACCATGAAATTTCCCAACAGGCCAATAATGTAGAACATAGAGAACGGGATGGAAATCCAGACATGAGCAGCTTCCAGGCCAGGAATGCCTGTTAGGATGAATGTTGAAGGGTCAGAGGAGGTGAAGTTGAAAGCTGCCATGAGGTGGTTGATGCATCAATCAGGCTCAGAAATGCTCAAGGTGCCTGTGAAGGGAGAGAAGCAAAGTGAGGGGAGTTACACACTTTATAGCAAATAGTATCATATATATTTTACAGTTATTACCAATGTAGAAAAGGGGTGATCAGTGAGGTGGCAACATCTGCAGATGGCACCAGATTATTTAGGTCACACTCAAGTCCACAGAGGGAGCTAAATGAACCAGGTGAATGGGCAGCATGATGGCAGATGAACTTTGATATCAATAACTGCAAGTTGCATGCCCGTTGGAGGGAAAGCTTGAACTCCTCAAAGACCTAACACAATTCTAATTTAACTGTATGAGCTCAGGACAGGGACCTGGGTATCATTGTACACAGTTCTGTGAAACCCTGCTCACAGTGCAAACATGGACAGAAACTAAGCAAAGCATTGGAATCCTGGAGGAATGGGATGGGGAATCAAACAGAAAATACAATGCCATGAGATCAGTCAGTCAATGTTTCACCTTCCTCTGCACTCCCCTGGGTAACACTGGTGACCCTTCTCACAAAGGTTATTGCAGAACTAGAGGGTTTCAGACAAGGGGAATGAAAATGATTAAGGGCCTGCGGAAACACTCATGTAGAGAGAGGCTGAAAACACTGGGATTGTTACCTTAGAAAGGATATGAATTAGAGGTGATATGAGAAAAGTCTATAAAATACTCTTCTCTGGGAGTTGGACCTTATAGTCGATGAGGACCACATGCCTCACTACCTCAAATGATCCCTGACATTGAACCAGTAATTTGAACAGTAAATTTGGTAGTAACAATAACACTCAATCACCCAGTTTGAACACTCACAGCTGGACCCCTTTGTTATAGGCCTTCTCTTGTACCTGTTGTGCATTTAGCAAAATACTTCTAGCAAATGCCCATAAAGTATTGAGGCAATTTTTTAATTGAACAATGTATTGGACTATCTTCATTGCCTGTGGTCTTTGGTCTTCCATATTTC